AAAGCACAGGAAAAACATGGATGATTGTGGAACATTCTGAGGTGACAAACTTTGTAACTCTTGAGACAATAGGCTTAGAGGGGGTTATTTTATGCCTGATAAACCTATTTGTTCTAACACTGAGTAATATTGAAGACTGAGGATTACATGTTTATACACTGCCAAAACTGTTGATACTGTTCCTCATAAATCAAGTGTTGAATGTAATGAGACATCTTTCTGGGTGGCCTCAATAAGCATTCTATTTATGCAATGTTTCTTATTATTTAGGATGGGATGGATTTATTTGATGGGAGATATAAACAGCAGCTATCAGCAATGTGTGTGAGAGCGTGCCTGCTGCTGTCAATCCTAAATACATCCCTCTCTACCATATTCAAAATCAAATGCAAATTCCCATGTCACATTGTTTTTCATTTTCAATCACTTTATTTAAGATGAGGTAACTTGGAGATACAAATATTATACCTGCTTGATCAGGTATCAGGACAGGGTTTAGCTCAGAGTGTAGATCAACCTTTTTTAAGGGTAGCTATCCACAGTGACAGCAGAGGCAGTCCAGCCTTCTGGTCCTACCTAAGTTTTGGAGCAATTACCTAGTTGATGGGGTTCTGGGAGTTCTTCTACTCCCCAAGCCCGGCCCAAGGCCAGGCTTGACTTGTGAGAGCTTGGTCCAACAGGCTGTTGCTTGGAGTGGCCTGCAGGCCCACATATATCTAATTACCCTATCACACCTGTATAGATTATATCCTGGTATCCAGATCTCACTGTCCAAGAATTCCCCTGCATGGGTTTCTGTAAAAGATCCAAATACTGCATTTGACTCCGTGAGGAGGCCACTTATGAATTGTACTTTGTTGTTTGTTCTTGTTTTTAGTCCTTGTATATTGGCAAAGATGAATGCGGTTACTCTATTAGGGATAGTTTGACTGGGAGACTTTTTTGGCAAGCCTATTATGTGTGGACACATTGAGTTTGTTCTGACCAGAGCTGATTGTTGTAGGGCAGTTGCCTGTCGTATTTGTAGTTCCTTTTTGGTGTGTAATTGTATCTTTAATTCTGGTATGCAAGTGGGTCTGGCATCCAGTTCCATACATTATCTATGCTTCTAGTTCCATCCAGATTAGCGAGTGGAGACAGTAATTTGTTCACTTGATATTAAGGTATGTTATCTTAATTTTTACAATTGACACAGTTGTTTACATAGAGAGTTTAGCATTGTGGACAACTATGATTTCTTGATGTTTCAATAAGGAGGGATGTGATTTTTTTCTGTTTTTGTTTTTAAACGTCTTGGCAACTTTTGCGTCCAACTCCTGGCACCACGAGGGCAGGCAGGCGGTGGACTTGTTGACTTCACTCGAAATTCACTTGTTATTTCCTTAAAATCACCAAAATTGGATGGCAATCACTATCGTATATTGCTTAATATGTTGAGATGCGCTTTATGAGATATCTGACTGTGTTTAGTTCCTGTATCACTGAAATATCCCTAGATATATATTGTTTTTCGCGGAGCTCGTGCTTACATGGCCCTTCCCCTTTCACACCCCAACTTGGATCAACTTGGCTTGGTGTGGCTTTTGTCGTACCCGCACGCTTGAGTGGCGGGAGGTTTCCACGGTGTTGCATGTGTTCTTGGGGTGCTCTCTGGAGTCTCTCAGCAAGTGTCTCTTTGCCCCTGTGTGCTTCCTTAGGTTGTTGATCTTGGTGCTGCTGCATGCTCAGTTCCTCTCTTTCAGATGCTTTGGTGGCCAATGACTTCGGCGTCGCGGTCTTTGGCCTCTGTCTTGCGTTTATTTTGTTTTCTGGAACTGTCTTCAGATTGGCATTCAGAAAGGTGTGGGGGTGGACAGTGGAGGGCCCTTGGCTGGGGTGTCAGTTGCTTCTGTGTCATCTGACTTGCTGAGACTGTTTGTGCCAATCTTCTAGGAGGCGGTTTCCATATTTTTCACCTGTTTCTCATGTTGGGAGGTGGTGCTGGTTCTCTCCTTGGATTTGGCTTGGGCCCAGGCTCTTCAGTCTTCTTTGCCATTTTGTTTTCTTTTGTTTCCTTAGAACTGTGTGTCAGTTTTTGTCAGCAGCTTTGGCTAGTAGCCGGCCTATTTCTGATCTGTTGATTCTCAGGGGGAAGGGTCCCTCCCAGTTCTCTCGGCAGGTTCAGGCCTGGGCTCAGGCTTTGTGGGGTCGGGATAGGCCTATGGTGGCAATTTCTGTGTGGGAAGTGTCACCGCTTCTAGTCGGCGCGGTGTTCACTCTGCACGGAGGTTGAGATCTCAGGGTTTGCATCGCCCCTTTTGCAGGTCATCCCATTGACGGGGCGATGGGGAAGGGGGGAGGTTATCTGGAGGTGATTTCAAGGCTAAGCATCCTTGTGGCCCGGTGCTCGATCAGGCCTCCTTTTTGTTACACCCCCCCTCCCAAGAAACAGACTGCAGCAGCTGTCTAACTCCCAGGTACCTATTTACTGCTAGGAGAACAAGTGCATGAGGGTGAAAGAAACTCTGCCCATTTGTTTCTGCCTCCACCGGGGATCGAACCCGGAACCTCAGGACTACGAATCCAAGGCGCTGTCCTCTCAGCTGTCAGGCTCACAGGTCAGGGAGGCTGGCTCTTTTTGGCCACATCTGCTCCCATGCTTCGTGGTTTTTTTGAGTCGTTTCTTCTGGCCTTCAGTGGCGTTGGGTGGACTTTCCTCCCTTTGGAAGGAGGGGGGGTTTCAGGTCTCTTTTTCCCTCCATCCATCAGGTCATCTGGGAGTGGGTTCGTCTGTGCGTGGTCGAACGACCTCATTTCTCAGGAGGGTTTCTCGCCTGTTTCCAGTTCCAAAACAGGACTGTGCAGATCTCCGGTACATTCTAGGCTTGTCTCGACTGTCCTGGTTGCTTCTTTGCCCCTCCTTTCAGATGACTAAGTTGTCTCAGGTCCGGCTTGTTCTCGACCCAGGCGCTTGGATACTTTTCCTGGACCTCACGGATGCATACTGGCACATCCCTATCCATCCAGGGTTCAGGGATTTGTTAGGTTTTGTCGTGGGGGCAACAGGCTTACCGCTTCCGTTGTCTCCCTTTCAGGTTCAATCTGGCACCTCACAATTTTTAAGCATTTGGATAGGGTCATGGTGGCCTATCTTTGTCTGCTATGGCTTTGGGTCTTGGCCTACCTCGGCAACTGGTTGGTTTGGGCTCCCAACTCGTCTAGGGATCTGGCTCTCTCCCAGCTCACCAGGTTCAGGTTCCTGGTGAGCTGGTGGAAGTCCCAGTTGGTTCCATCCTGGGTTCAGATTTGACTGGGCCTTGTGTGGGATTGTCGGATTGCATCCCTTTCTCTTCCTCCTGTGGCCTTGCTCTGGATGCAGTCCCGTCTTTGGCTGCTTGTGAAGGGGACCCGGGTCACTTGGAGGTTGCTCAAGCAGCAACCTCCAAGTGGTTGGCTTATCCTCTGGGCACGGTTCAGCTTCTGAGGCTGTTATTGTAATTTTGGGGCAGCCTCTTTCCCAACTCTCACGATCACTGGGTTCATTTCCCGGTGTCCTTACGTCAGTTGCTGCGTTACTGGCCTCTTCTTCGGGGTGTTCAGGGTTTGGTGTCATGGCGCTTTCCTCCTCCCTCGCTCAATGTTTGTGACCAGTGCACACCAGTCCGGTCAGGGATGTTGGCGGCTGTCCGTGTATCAGTCTCACAGCATGGTGCGGGAGTTTGCAGCTGCGTAGCTAGTGCTGCAGGGTTTCAGCTCCCTCGGGGCTTGGTGTTCCAGCTCAATTCAGACTGCTCCCCCTATGGTTGCTTGTCTCAGACAGAGGGGGGGGGGGGGTCGCTTTAGTTCGTGGCTTTTTGGAGATGGTTGCTTCGGGTAGCTCTTCTGCTGAGTTCAGAAGCTGGTCTCAGCTGGAATTCCATTGGGACATGATTCCTTTCCCTGGCCCTATTGTCACCTGCCCAGCCTTGGTTTCAGATGCTGCTTACTCTGTGACTGAACCCGGGTGTTTTTCTACAGCTCTGCCTCTTTCAGCAGGTCAGGTAAGTGAGGTACCTCGCTGGGTCGATTTATTCCTCCACAATATTTCTGACGCATGTGTATCGCCAAGTTATGGTGATCAGATGACTTATATGACGGTGTCCCCCCCTGTGGTCGTCTTCTCAGCAACAGTCCTAAGTTTCTTGGTGGCCTTTCCGGCGTTTTCTTTCTTTTCGTACAGGTTTCGTCGGTGTTGGACAGGGTTGTCTTGTCCTTCCTCTCTCTTTGCTTTTCCTGGATCTGCATCTCATGCCAAGTATTATGATTTCTTATCGTGCGGAGTTTGTGGAGCCGCTGCAACTTGCATTCGAGGGGTGTGTCGCTTCCGCTGTGTTCCGCAACATGTCTCGTGCATTTTTCACCTTCGCTCTGTTCATGCGCCGCCTGAGCCTTCTTGATCTCTGGACCGGGTTTTCTTCTTTCTCTCTTTTCCTCGCTTCGTGCTCTTCTCTGGTGCTGGGTGCTTTCTTTGTTTGGTTCTGATGACCGTTTTGTTCGTTTCTAGCTAATTCCTCCTTTTCTGGTGATGAGTGAGATGACACGCTTCTGGCGGGGTCTGTTGATTGTGGATGCTTGGTTGGTTAGGCCGGGGTGCATCACGTGCTGTGTCTGGTAGCGGCTTTCTCCTCTACTTGCGGGCCACCAGTTCTGTGTCAGTGGACCCGCTCTGGGTTTATCTGGTTTTCCCTGGTTCCTTGTTCCATGGTTCGTGTGTCTTGGGTTGTCCGCAGTGTACGTAACCCTTAAACTGCGCAAATTGTATTTATACAATTTTGGTATAAGTGGCTGAATGGCACACATCGTATATATATATATATATGTACATTTTAAGGACCTGCCCAAAATGTTATGCGTGCTAGTGGTTTTACAGGATTGTAAGAACTTTTGAATATATAAATAAACAAATAAATAATAAACTCATTATGCTATATTGTACTGTTCACTATAATACAAGTTATTATGATAACATGGAGAAAACTGACCTTCTCTTGTCGAGCAGAAATCATGGTGGCGAGAGTGGAGATGGTATTGTTCTGAACCTCTATATTGTCATTTTCCCATCCCACACTTAAATCATGCCAAGGCTTAACTGAGCTGAAGCCTGCATGCTTGCCTCCATTCCAACGCATGACAGTCGACCAACTTCTTGCCTGCGTAATAACAGAAATATTGAAGTTAACAAACACCGTACCATAGTCACATATATTATTATTCTCATTATATTCTTCTAACTGTTAAAGAGCATAAACATGAAGAAAAATAATTGTTAAAGCATATTATACATGTACCCTCAATAAAACTTGAGGAGGAGGAGGAGGAGGAGGAGGAGGAGGAGGAGGAGGAGGAGGAGGAGGAGGAGGAGGATGATGAAGAGGCACAGAAAGAGGAGGTGGAAAAAGAGGAGGTGGAAAAAGAGGAGGTGCAAGAGGAAATATTCTGAGAGTATTGGCTTAAAGTAACTAAGAAACAAGCCTAACCCTTAAACTGCTAAGGACTTTTTGGCCTTAGCGGTTCTTAGCTCAGGCACAACAGCAGTGTCGGTGTTGAGGGAAGTGCCAAGCACACTGAGTAAGCGTCGGTGCTAAGGGAAGTGCCAGGCACACTGAGTAAGTGTCGGTGTTGAGGGAAGTGCCAGGCACACTGAATAAGTGTCGGTGTTGAGGGAAGTGCCAAGCACACCGAGGAAGTGTCAGTGTTGAGGGAAGTGCCAAGCACACTGAGGAAGTGTCGGTGTTGAGGGAAGTGCCAGGCACACTGAGTAAGTGTCGGTGTTGAGGGAAGTGCCAGGCACACTGAGTAAGTGTCGGTGTTGAGGGAAGTGCCAAGCACACTGAGTAAGTGTCGGTGTTGAGGGAAGTGCCAAGCACACTGAGTAAGTGTCGGTGTTGAGGGAAGTGCCAGGCACACTGAGGAAGTGTCAGTGTTGAGGGAAGTGCCAGGCACACTGAGTAAGTGTCGGTGTTGAGGGAAGTGCCAGGCACACTGAGGAAGTGTCGGTGTTGAGGGAAGTGCCAGGCACACTGAGTAAGTGTCGGTGTTGAGGGAAGTGCCAGGCACACTGAGTAAGTGTCGGTGTTGAGGGAAGTGCCAGGCACACCGAGGAAGTGTTGGTGTTGAGGGAAGTGCCAGGCACACTGAGTAAGTGTCGGTGTTGAGGGAAGTGCCAGGCACACCGAGGAAGTGTCGGTGTTGAGGGAAGTGCCAGGCACACTGAGGAAGTGTTGGTGTTGAGGGAAGTGCCAGGCACACTGAGGAAGTGTCAGTGTTGAGGGAAGTGCCAGGCACACTGAGTAAGTGTCGGTGTTGAGGGAAGTGCCAGGCACACCGAGGAAGTGTCGGTGTTGAGGGAAGTGCCAGGCACACTGAGTAAGTGTCGGTGTTGAGGGAAGTGCCAGGCACACCGAGGAAGTGTCGGTGTTGAGGGAAGTGCCAAGCACACTGAGTAAGTGTCGGTGTTGAGGGAAGTGCCAAGCACACTGAGGAAGTGTCGGTGTTGAGGGAAGTGCCAAGCACACTGAGTAAGTGTCGGTGTTGAGGGAAGTGCCAAGCACACTGAGGAAGTGTCGGTGTTGAGGGAAGTGCCAAGCACACTGAGTAAGTGTCGGTGTTGAGGGAAGTGCCACGCACACTGAGTAAGTGTCGGTGTTGAGGGAAGTGCCAAGCACACTGAGTAAGTGTCGTGACTGTGTCTATCTGGACCTAAGAAAAGCTTTTGACAGAGTCCCACACAAGAGGTTGTTTTGGAAGCTGGAATATGCTGGAGAGGTGACATGGAGACTGCTGACATGAATGAAAAATTTTCTGATAAAGATGAGGGCAGTAATTAAAGGTAATGTATCTGACTGGAGGAGTGTTACTAGCAGCAGAGTATCACAGGGTTTAGTTCTTGCATCACTATTGTTCACTGTCTGCATAAATGATCTACCAGAAGGAATACAGAATGTACATGAATATGTTCGCTGATGATGCTAAGCCACTAGGGAATATAGGAAACCTAGACGATTGTCATGTTTCAAATTGACATGGATAAAATTAGTGCTCAGATGTGGCAAATGGAATTCAGTGTGAATAAATGCCATACTATGGAATATGGAATAGGAGAAAATTGACCACACACAACTTATATATTAAATGGAAAAAAATTAAAGCACTCTAACAAAGAAAGAGATCTGTGAGTGGTTCTGGATAGTAGACTGTCACCAGAGGAACATATAAAAAACATTGTATGAGGAGCGTATGCGTTGTTTTCCAGCTTCAGAATCGCTTTAATTACATGGATGGTGAAATTCCAAAGAAACTGTTTATGACTTATGTGAGACTAAAATTGGAATATGTAGCAGCTGTATGGTGCCCATATCTCAAGAAGAACATTAATAAACTGGAAAAGATGCAAAGGCATGCTACAAAATGGCTTCCAGAATTTAAAACAAGAATTGCAAAGAGAGGCTAGCGGTGTTAACCCTTAGACCGCGAAATACATACTGTATATGATTTGACACAAAATAATTTAACATAAGTTTTTAAAACTTGCACAAACAACTTCCATTTCTGTGGGGAGCCCCTACGGCTCCCTGGAGCTTATCGGGCTAATGTATGTTATGTTAGACCGGGACATTAGCTATGGAGTTCAGACCTACCAGGGACCAGTGCCAGAACCTGGCCCCTTCAGAGAGGTTTCAGGGAGCAATGGCCCTGGAAAACCCCATATGGTTGGGGGTTTTCCTTATCTGCCATCGACCGGGGTTAGGCACCCAGAAAGGTAGGCGTAACAAAACAAACCCCAAATGGTAAGAAACTACAACAAAAACCGAACAGAGAGGTAGAAAACTCCCTACAATCCCAAGGAAAACAATCAAACAATCAATTTACTGCCGCGCCGGTCGTCTGCGCAGCCCTCCCCTCCCCGGGAGGGGGAAGGGGGGGGCCCCGGACCTCACCACGCCGGCTGCCGTCAGTTCGCAAGCTAGTGTCAACCGGGATAGACGCTTCTCTGGCCTCAAATTCCTTGGCGGTGTTTGCCTTGTGTGGCGTTTTCTGCTGTTTTTGTGGTGTGCGGTGGCCAGGAGTACTTCATCAGTGCCGGGGCTGCATGCGCCCAGGGGCTTCCTTCCCTAGGCGCCCTGTGAGTACTGCCCTTGCGTGTCAGGGTTATCTTCTCTGGGGCGTTCGGGAACCGTTCCCGTAGAAGTTTTTGCTGCTCGGCATTTGCCTCGCCCTTGGGGCCAGCTGGGGCTTGGGGCCCTTGCTTGGCCTTGGGTAGGGAGTGGTATTGTGCTGGTTAGGGCGTCAAGGTGTTGCGCATCCTGCCACCTAAGCGGCGACCGGTTCCTGTTGCTCTGGGGACGGTGTACTTTTGCGGGGAATAGCTCAACTGACAGCTGACGCTTACAAGGTCTGCTTGAAGCACATACCTGTGAGGAGGGGCAGAAAGAGGACCACTCTAGAAAGAGAACGCAGACGACTGTACAGGAGAAGGAAAAAAATAACGGAAATGCTTCGGCAGACACAACTATCACAAGCAAGGAAAACAAGCCTAAGCAGGAAGATTGAGGAAATAGAACAAACATTGAAGCGATCATATGAGTCTGAGGAAATGGAATTGGAACAGAAAGCTATACAAGAGATAAGGAAAAATCCGAAATATTTTTTCACATACGCAAAATCAAAATCCAAAACCTCGACCAGTATTGGACCGTTAATTACAAATGAAGGTACGTACACAGAGGACAACAAAGAGATTAGTGAAATTCTAAGAAGCCAGTATGAGGCTATGTTTAGCACACCAATAAACAACATGAAAGTTGATGACCCAGACAGCTTCTATATGAATGACATTCAAGCTGCAGATAATATAACGGATATTACCACAAACTCGGAAGACTTTGAAAGAGAAATTGATAATATGCCTATGCACTCAGCTCCTGGGCCTGACTCATGGAATTCAATATTCATAAAGAAATGTAAAGTACCAGTAGCGAGAGCACTCAGCGTAATATGGAGAAAGAGCCTGGATACAGGGGAGATACCAGCAGCACTTAAATCTGCAGATATAGCTCCGTTGCACAAGGGGGGGAGTAAAGCCTTGGCAAAAAATTATAGGCCAGTTGCACTAACATCACACATAATAAAAGTGTTTGAAAGAGTGATTAGGAATCAAATTTCTAGTTTTATGGAAAACAATGAATTGCACAATCCAGGACAACATGGATTTAGAGCGGGAAGATCCTGTCTGTCACAGTTACTCAACCACTATGACAAAATCACAGAAGCCCTAGAAGAAAAGCAAAATGCAGATGTTGTATACACAGACTTTGCAAAGGCGTTCGACAAATGTGACCATGGGGTGATAGCTCACAAAATGAGGTCAATGGGAATAACTGGAAAAGTAGGACGCTGGATACTCAATTTCCTGTCGAACAGAACACAAAGAGTAACAGTCAATCAGATAAAATCGAGTCCAAGCGATGATAAAAGCTCTGTACCTCAAGGTACAGTCCTTGCACCGCTACTGTTCCTTATTCTCATATCTGATATAGACAAAAATACACGCCACAGCTTCGTGTCGTCCTTTGCAGATGACACAAAAATCAGCATGAAAATTACCTCTGCTGAAGACATTGAAAAACTACAAGCAGATGTCAACAAAGTTTTTGATTGGGCAGCAGAAAATAACATGATGTTTAACAGTGATAAATTTCAGGTACTCAGGTACGGCAAAAATGAGGATCTGAAACATAATACAGGGTACAAAACACAATCGAATCTTCCCATAGTAGAAAAACAGCATGTCAAGGATTTGGGAATAATGATGTCCGACGATCTAACGTTTAGGGAGCATAACCAAGCAAATATCGCGTCAGCCAGAAAAATGATCGGATGGATTACGAGAACTTTCAAATCCAGGGAACCCATCACAATGGTTGTACTCTTCAAGTCACTTGTGTTGTACCGTCTCGAGTACTGCTCAGTACTCACTTCCCCCTTCAGAGCAGGAGAGATTGCTGAAATAGAGGGAATACAGAGAACATATACGGCACACATAAAACGAGATAAAACACCTAAATTATTGGGATCGTCTCAAAGCTCTCCAAATGTACTCTCTAGAAAGGAGACGAGAGAGATACCAAATAATATACACATGGAAAATACT